GCACGGCACAACCCATTCAACAATTGTAGTAATTGTTCACATTGACTGATCTGGGAAGTAGAGGTGGTCACAGCAGGTGACCTCTGAGGTTAGGCATTACCCCTTATTCATGGCTGTATTCTAGTACCTGGTCCATAACAAGTGTTACTTTAAGTGCTTATGGTCTGAGCTGCTGGGAGGAGCTGGAGGATTTGGGAGCGCCCTGGAGGCTGGAGAAGTAGGGTGATCTGTTCAATTTGAACTTTTGCCAGAGGGCAGTGGTTCTTAAACTGTAGTGTGCAGCCCAATGGGTAGGGGATTAATATTCCCATCCTGTAGGTTTGGGTGGGACTCAAGAATTTGTAGTAAGTTACCCTGTGACGCTGCTGGGAAACTTGGCTGTTGTAGGAGGAAAGGAAGCACATAGCGGGTTCCTGAGGAGACAGGACGTGGTGGGGGTGCAGGCAGGCACCATAGCTTGAGAGAGGTCTCCAACCCACAAAGTTGTAGGACTTGCCTGCAACTGAGTCCAGTAGGCTCAAAGCAAGTGATTAAATCACACAATTTATTGGAGGGCCCAGGCAACGGAAATGGGGAGGTTCTGACGAAAGGCTAGTGGACAGTGATTGATGTTGGGGCTTCAACTGATAGGGAAGGAAATGGTGGAGATTGGAGATTCAGAGTATAATCATTTAGAGTAGTATATTTCTAACCTTTTTCACTGTAGCCTGTGGTAAGAAATACATTTTACTTTGCCCCCCAATCACGAATGTGAGTATAACTGATCTAAAGTTTCATAACACCTTTCTTATTTACATTCCACTCTGGTGTTCCTGTTTCTTTGAAAACAGTGATCGTAGCACAGTATGTGGATTTCATGACCTGGTGGGAAAACATCACTTCCAGGGATGGTTGTGATTAGAGTCAGAAAGTGAGGGCACTGGCAGAATGCTGCCCTGCTTACTGATCGGTGCCTGTAGATATCGGAGGTGGAGTCACCAGGTGGTCACCACGCAATGGTGTGCTCCTGGGGTGGGTCACTGAAGTGGCATGGAGACAATTTTTGGTGGCAAGACGAGTGAACTTTGAAGCTAAACTGTTAGGACAGACAGCTTGTGTATGTGGACATCAAAGGTGATGTGAAGAAGTTGAAGTGAAAGTGAAAGCAGTCCTTGGAATGGGTTGTGTCCCAGATATACCATGTGGGCCTCGTGGACCCTTCTGCCCAGTGACTTGATAGACTAGTTGCTAGATTGAAACCCTCTCCTCTCTGTTATATGCTGCGGTTCCAGGGAGTGTGGCTTTGAAGGGGAAGGAAGGTAATGTACAAATAGTTGGGGTTTTTTAGGAGAATAAGCATGAAAACTAGTTCAGAATTCATCTGAAAACTATTAAAGTGTTTTGTGTAAACAGTACCTACTTTGCAATGATCATGAAGTATGAGATTTAGTTGACAACCTTGAAAATAGATCTTCTGTAGTGAAAATATTGGGTGGGAAAACGTACTGTGCCATATTGTCATTGTGAAATATATGTAACTGTGCAGTTTTTACCTGGTAAAAGTTTAGGTGAGACTTTTAAAAAAATTGTTTTTATGATTTTTAAAGTTAAGGTGGTTTTTAGTTTTGAGGAAGAGTATTAGAAAGTTAATGTGGGATACTGAGATATATTATTTTCAAATCTTGCATAATGTGTTACCAAATTGGAAGATTTGTCTCTGTGTTGATACACACATCCAGGTATGTGCTGCTTTTCAGTTTACTTCAGCTCACTCCTGTATTGTTATCATATAGCATTTCTCCAAGAGTTGGTCAGGAGTTTGAGATTCTCCCCAGGTTATACAAACCTATGAGCCTCTGAGAGCCTGGTTGGTGCTGAAACATCTTCAGGAAATAATTGGTATTCCAGGATGTGAATTTGACAAGGACAAAGGCCCAAGTAGATGTAGGAGGTTATTATGAGGAAAAATATAAAAGGTGATCAAGTAAATAATATAATTTCCTGTGGGTCAACAAGGCCTTTTGTAACTGCAAGTAAACTGCATTGGAAAACTTGGCCAAAGGAGCCAATTTACTGCTCTAGAGGATGAGGACGTCCCTTAAAGCCAGAAATTACTAGAACCAGGACTGAGAAGACTATGAGCAGTGGGATTCATTTACTAAGATTAATTATCAGTTAGTGCTGACTTGAAGATTTCAACACTAGTTGCCTAATAATTCTGCTTTTAATGGAAACAGCAGAAAACAGCTGTCATGTCAGCAAATGTAGCCTTCCTGTCCCTTCTTAATTTAAATAATTAATGATCTTCCCATAAGGGAGAGTCCAGAGGAGGAGAGACCCAAGGGAGACTTAGCTTTTCTTCAGCCCCACTTCTGCTGATGAATTAGCGCTTTCTCCCAGGCCCAACTGATTGAGAAATCCAGCTGCTCCCTGAGGACTGGGGTTTCCGATCTGGTGTCCCAGTTACTCAGGAAGAGTTTGCTGTCATCCTTCATTTGATTCAGGGTGGATTACATTGTGTGCTTTTGCCAGAATGATTGCTTATATTTTCAAGTTAAATGGGAAGTTAACCAGGCAAATACTCTGTGCCCTCTGTGATATAAATGAGGAACTCTTCTTTCGATATGAACCAATAATTGTATTTTTAAAATGTGGTCCACTTGTTAGCTGTAACTATTTATCTCATGCTATCTTGTTCAGTGTATAACAAGGATATAGGATTTTCTTTTCAATTTGGTTGTGGCTGCCTAAATTTCCTGTGCTAGTTCCTGAGGCTGTCCTCCCCTCCCCTCACCCCTGCAGGTGAGGCTTTTGAGACTCACCTGGTGCCAGGGCGGAGAGCTGTCTAATCCAGTGTTTCCTACTGGTTTTCCTCCACGTTGGGGGAGTTTATCACATACATCACACTTAACTCCTTTCTTTACTGGTTTTAGTCCAGTTCTGCTTCCAAAAAAAAGTTATAAAAATCTTTTAAATCCCTTTCTTTTCAGCTTTGTAACTCTTGACCACTTATCTTTAAGGGAAAAAAATCTTCTTTCTTCCTTCTCTTCTTTCCATTTGTAAGACCCCCCAAAAAAACAAACAAAAAATACAAACCCCCAGTGTCTGGAAGTATTCTTAAGAAGCCCTGAAGAAGGTTCTTTTCTCTTCTTTCTTCCTAAACATTTTGCTTCAAGCAATAGCATTCAATATAAATAAGAATATTCTTATTCTTTAAAATTTTTCAGTTTTGCTCACATAAAAGAGGGGTTTTTATTGCTATTTTCATTACATAAAAGCTGTTCTATATCTTGAGCTAAATGCCTCTTTATGAGCTAGCTTATATAACACGGTCTTTTGAGCACAATTCTTTTGAAATGCATGCAGTTCCTGGACAACTACTGTATCCGGTATCACAGGCAGGCCCGTGTTTGGGGACCAATAAGTACTAGACAGTTGTTTCTTCATTTCTATTGAACCGTTTCCTAGTCACATTTATAAAGTTGAGATCTTTTGTAGCATCTGAATGTATGAGAATGCCCTTTGGCGTGTCTGCAGGGTGTGCAAAGACTAATTAATGAAGGTACTTGCAGATAACTTCAAGCACTAAAAGAAAGAAAACAGGATGGTCTGATAGAGTGGCATCAGGGAGGTGGCACCACCTTAGATGGGGTAGTTTTAGCAATGGCCTCTCTGAAGAAGGGACATTTGAGTGCGGACCAGAATAATGACAAAAGTGAGTCAGACCTTCAGAGATCTGGGGGCTGGTTAGAACAAAGGCGCTAAGGCTAGTAGGAACTTGGCAGGGACAGAAGAATGTGACTGGAGCCTGGGAGGCCCCGTGGCGGAGTGGTAGCCATTGAGGTTAGGGAGGTGGGCAAGCAGGCCCTCTCCCCCGTTATGTGTGGGTCATGGTTCCGAGTTGGGGATTCATTCTAATCACAATTAGGATTTTAAGCAGAGAAGTGATGTGTAATTTTCCAAAGCTCTTGTAGGCTGCCTTGTGGAGAATGATTTCAGTTGTCAGTAATTCTGGAGACACCGTGAACTTTGTGTTTAGCTGCTTGGGAGGAGTAAATAACAAGCCTGCCAACTTGGGGATTTTCTGGTTTCTCCCAGGAGCTCCCACTTTTAAACCCGTTTATCAATTGATAAATTTCTAAGTATAAGAGGACTGACTGCCTTTGGTGTGAAAACCTCACGCCCCCTGTGAACTCCTCTCTGTGGTTTCGGGGAGGCAGGCAGACAGGAAACTCCAGGAGTCCCGCCCTCCCTGGCTCTCCCTGCAAGTCCTGAGATGGATGTTGATTCTGCAGCATGTCTAAGAGTGGACCTGAGAGGGAAGGATTTGGGATGGAATTAGGGAGGAACCACTCCCTGCTTCCTGGTGATAAAATAGTCTGGACTGTTTCTTCCCAGGGAGCCCTGCTCTGATGTCCTCCAGTAGAAATTCTATATGACACGTAGCCCTGAGAACGTAGGGCTCAGTTATCACAGTGTTTTGGTGAGTCCAGAACATTTCTGAACTGTCTGTGTGCAGGACACTGGTAGGCCTTTGACGCTGGATGATAGACACAGGGTTTCTACCTTCACCAAGTATTAAAAATAAAAACTTTTGTTATTTTTTCAGCTTACCCTCTAAACAGCCATATATGAAAAAACCCAAAGAAATTAATCATGCTTTACTCATTGCCATATAAAATTAATAGCCAGATTTCAAGGATACCAGAGGAGATCAGCTTAGCTTACACCTTATTTAAGAGTTGTTTACCTTTAACAGAATATGCAGTGTGCTTGTTGGTCAGTATATTTGTTAATGTCACAAAAGCATTTAATTCATAATAGCTTATTTGCTTAAATTTCTGTCATATTTTCACAGAAATTTTAAGATTGCCTAAATGCTAATTAAAGGAACATTTTCTGATCTCAGTACCTTAAGTTTCTTCATCTGTTACAGTGGTGGGTTTTTTGTAAAATACTAGAATTACAATTTTTTGCCTTGATAATGCCCATGCATTCTGAGTTGTCTCTTTCTTTTACAGGGAAATCCTCGTTGACGATTCAGTTTGTTGAAGGCCAATTTGTTGACTCCTATGACCCAACCATAGAGAACAGTAAGTATTGTTTTCAAGGATTTATAAACTGAGGAGCCTGCCTTCTGCATACAAACAACCATTGTGTGTTTGGAGGCTTTGATGGAAGAGTATTCAGTTAGACTTATAGATCACCAACTAGGGTCCAAAACATGCTTCCAAAAACTTGACCCACTTTACAGCGAGTGATTTTTTTTTTTATCCCGCACCCAGATCCTGCCATTTAGAAATTGTTATTCATCTCCATAGGAATCAGAGTCCTGTATCGGAACCCCATATTCTAGGTTCTGCTTTAGGAAGATGGAGAGAGTGCTTTTGTTCCCCCCCCTTTTCCTTCCTCTTAACAGTAGCCCTCTTTAGGGGTTCTAAGCTGGAGAAGGAAGATGCAAACACTACGAGTTCTTTGTACCTTACTATTGTGGAGGCCCCAGCTGCCCGGCCCGTCCAGTCGTGGATACTTAAGGAAGGAAGTCTGGGAGAAGTGAGCTAGCTGTTTGGGGTTGGACAGAGCAGTCGCAGCGTTAGAACAGAGCCTGCTGGCCTGTCAGGCTGTGTGCAGCACAAGCACCGAAGACCAGAGCCGGCCACGACCTTTACCTGGTCCAGTTTCAATCCATGGTTTCAGAATCTCCCTGAAGGATTCTAGGGCCTTGAGCCAAATCTTCATTCTGGGGCTCACGGAGGAGAACCTGAGGCACTTCGTCCGGGGAAGTTCTTGTTGAAGCTAGTCTGGTTTCAGGCCATCTTAGAACCCCAGCTCGCCTGGAACCAGTCTTCTCAGATTGTTGACAGCAGGGCTTACCTGGGACTTGTCACCAGGAACTTACAGATTTAAACATGGGGTTCAACAAAACCTGATTGGCATATTAGACAGGCAGCCTACCTAACAGCCAGGCTCACCAGCTTTAACAACTAGATTCGTAGACTTCACCCGCCCAAAGCTTGCAAGAGAGACTTAAAAAGAGGCTCTCAACGGGAGTTGACAAATTTGGGCCAAGTTGCCCATGAGCTAAGAATGGTTTTTACATTTTTAATATTTGAAAAGAGTCAAAAGAAGAAAAATGTTTGTGACATGTGAAAGTATACAACTAGAAATTCAAATTTCAGCATCCATAAGTAAAGTTTTATTGGAACACAGCCATTCTCATTCATGTACATACTGTCTGTGGCTGCTGCTTCTCTGCAACAGCAGAGTGGGTGGACAGTTGCAGCAGAGACCATGTGGCCCACTGAGCCTAAAGTATTTACTGTCTGGCCCTTTCCAGGAAGTTTGCTGACCTCTGGCTTAAAATATCCAGCTGTCCTTTGTCCCGTACGCTGGTAGCAGGGAAGGAAACCTGTTGATTGCTAAACTAACTGGGAAGTCACGTGTTTGAAAGTAACCTCTGCCTTATCTGGAAGGAGGAGTCCTGATGGCATCCTGTTGATTTCCTTAGCTGTCGCGGAATAGTGTGCCCTGTGAGGACAGATTAATTTGAATGCTGAGTGAACAAGTTTGGTTCTCTCTCCATTGGCATCGGAACACAAGAAAACTATGCTCTTGGCCTTGATATTTGCTCTACATAGCAATTTAGAATGTGGTGTCCTTTAAGAGATAAGGCTCGTTTGAGAATTTTATTCATAGAACAATAGAAGATAGTTTTCATGGTAAGCTCTGCTTATAAAAGTGATTTTTATAATTGTATATCTTTGTGCCATTTAAGATTGAGTGGGAAGGAAAGTCAAGGTGTTATCTATAAATGCATTTTCTTTATGTGTAAGTAATGGATCAGACAAAAGTCCAACTTCCTTACCTTGATACTGTCTCAGAAACAGAATGGAAGGACCCTACTTCGAAGGCTGTCAGCATCATCTTTAGTCATGTTTTTAATGTTTTCCTATCTGATACTTGGTGTTTAATAATACTTTTTTTTCCAGTGTCAGAAGTGAATTCATTTAAAGTCTTCAGGCAAGAGCAGAAATGAGTATCACAGTATATTAAAAGTTCTTGAGCATGCCCGACCAGCCGATGTGGCTCGGTGGTTGAGCATCGACCTATGAACCAGGAGGTCATGGTTTGATTTTTGGTCAGAGTACATGCCTAGGTCACAGAATCCATCCCCAGTGTGGGGTGTGCAGGAGGCAGCCATAGTGATTCTCTCTCATCATTGATGTTTCTATCGCACTCTCCCTTTCCTCTCTGAAATCAATAAAAATGTATTGTTTTTAAACGTTCATGAGCATATTCAGATATCTGATTCTATTTTCCATGCTTCTGACAGTAACACAGGGCAGAAACCCTTTCTCAACCCTTCCCCCACTATTTAGTAGAAAAACATTGCTCAGTGATAGTAGGGGATTGGAGAGGAATGGGATTGTCGTCATAAACTTGTTGCTCACCACATAAATAGATGGTTTTGTGGTTCTAAAAAACACAATGAATCTGTAAATGATCCAGTAATTATTTTACACTTAACTCTAATATAGAACAGGGTGTTTGTAACAAACATTCAGTGTTGACACATTTATATGCAGTATCACTGCAAAAGCAAAAAGTCTGGGACTTTTAAAACATAGGAGAAAACATCGATAAAACCACATATTTTTTTGTGTTTGGGGAAATATTTACACCGATGATCCTGCCTGTGCAAATGTGCTTTCTTATGTGCCTTTGTGCTAATCTAACAACTCAAACTAGATTGACATGAGGACATGGAGTAATAGTTTATAATTTGAAGAGGAATAGCACCACGTCACAGCTCTGCCATCCCCAGGTAGGACTGCTGATGAATTAATAAAGCTCAGCAAATTCGACAGTGGGAATCAGGAGTTTATCAAGCCTTGTGTGGTGGCAGCCTGCCCGGTGGGGTGTGGGTGAAGAGTTCACCATACACGTTAGTAACGCAGCTCTTACTCTTTGAACACCAGATTTAAGAAGTCTTCAGGCTGCGCCTTGTTTATTAGATTTTACTAGTAAGTAGCTATTAGCCTGCTTAGAGAAGTTTCAGGATTTTAAGCTAGAAATTAGATTAATTTCTCTGGAGATTGAAAAAGGGAGAAAGGGTTCAAGGAAAGTGGTGTCAGGGGAAAGCCAGCTTCCCTCTTCTCCACAAGGCAGTAGAAGAGTTTGCTCCCAGTCTGTGGACTGGCAGGCGGATCGCAGGATGCTTCCCTTTTTCTGTAGTGACAACAGGAGGCACTTCTCCCAAGACAGATGGAAGATCTTCAGTTTCATCTTACTGCTTTGTGTGGGAGGGTTTACATCCTTTTTATGTGCAAGGATATGCTAAACGTTTGTTAATATTTTATTTCTTTTCTGTCTTATGTTCAGTTCCATCTCCTGCCTTTTTACTCCTACCTCCCTAGCCAGTACTTTCCAGTGTCTGTGGCCGAATCTTCCCGTGTTTCTGACCTGGCAGCTCAGGGAGCCCTGGGTGTGCATGTCGGGCTCAGGCTCTCTCTGCCCTCGCTCTCCAGGGGTCTTCCCCTTGAGAATTTGCCCGTCTCACCGTACCCAGCCTCTCCCCTCAACTCCGGGCCTTTTACTGAGCTGCCCTCAGTCCCCTTGGGTATTTAATGGGCTTCTCAGACTGACCATACCTAACCCTGCCCCTCAGTCCCCTCCTTTGCTGCCCCAGGGCCCCTCCCGAAGGCTTTTCTGTGTCGGTTCATGGCAACTCGTGCCTCCAGTTGCTCAGGCCAGAAACTGGAGTCTTCCTGCCTGCCTGTTCTTCACACCCTACCACAGGCAACCGGAAAATCCTCTTGGTTCTACCTTTGAAGTATATCCAGAATTCCACATGTCTCACACCTCCATCTCTGCCCCCCTGGTCACTCTATTATGGGCTCCCACCCATGTCCCTTGTCCATTTTTCTATTCACAGCCTAACCAGAGTGATCCTTTAAAAATATGAATCGGATCCAGCTACTCCCCTGCTCAAAAACCCTTGGTTTCCCATCACTTCCGAATAAAAATCTGAAGTTCTGACCAAGTCCTCTATGGCCGCCTGCCCCTCCTCTACCTAAGTGCCTGCCACCATTCTCAGTCTCAGCTGCACTGACTTTTTTTTTTTTTCTTAGTCCTCACCCGAAGACATGCTTAGAGAGAGAGGGGAAAAAAGAGAGCCAGAAGCATTGATGTAAGAGAAACATCGATTGGTTGCCTTAGCTCCAACCAGGGATCGAACCAGCAACCTTTCGGTGCACAGAATGCTCAGCCACCTGAGCCTCTCCTTGCCATTGTACCTCCTGGTGCTGCTCCCAGAGCAGATACCTGACAGGTCTGTCCCTGTCCTCCTTCCTTCATGGTGTCAGCTCACTGAGGTCAGGGACCCAGTAACTCCATCACCTAGTGGCGAGAATAATAGGCACTCAAGAAATAGTTCTTGAGTGAGTGAATGGTGTTCTGTGTAGATAATCTTTTCATAATAATTATACTTTCTAACCACAATTACTTCTAACTAAAGGTTGCTATTTTATTGCTCACCAATGTTTCTTCTAGAATTTTCATCAAGTCTGAAATATGTTGATCTTAGGTGAGGTGTGGAAGGCAGGTTTTCACCGAGGTGCCTCGTGGCTGCCCCCTGGCCCACAGTGATGGAACGCACAGTCGATGCACTGTGCACCCCAAGTTCAGAGAGGTTGCAGTGTGGAAAAAAAAATACAGTAGAACTTTTTCTTAGAATTCTTTCTTTAAGTGATAATTTCCAGAAAGGGCACAAGAATGCTCTCAAGTGTGCAGTTGCTCGAGTAGTGCGGTCTGTGCCCCGCTGGCACTTGGAGAGCCTGATGCTGGTGTGGTTCTCCCTGATTGTTGCTCCTCTCCTCTGTCACTTACAGTTTCTCTCGTAACTGTCAGCATCTGTCTTTCCCTTTTGGCATGGGGTAGAGTCTACTGGCAGCTCTGATCAAGTCCAGCGGTCAGCCAGGAGATGTAGACTCCTAATGAGCCAGAAGGCTGGGATGGGGCGCAGCAACCTTTCCATTTGGTTGTCAGGGTTCCAGGTGGTTCTTTGTAATAGTTATTATTAATAGTCTTTCCTCTTTTGTCTATATTTGCTTGAAGTCTGTCTCCTTGAAATTCTGAATTGACTTTTCCGGAAGTTATTTGAGTCTGATTTCTCCCCCCTTGTTAGGGAAAAGAACTTGTGACAAATTGCTTGGATCCTAAGCTAAGTGGGAATGATGGCTTCACATAGAACATCTGTTCCAATGCTGTGTTAATCTGTCAGTAAGATTGGGGCTTTTTTACATTCTGGGAGTTCGTAGCCTTTCAATTAATATTAGCTCTTTGTGCTCTGACACCAGACTTCCTATAAATTAGTGAAAAGGTTTGTGCTTTTGGTTTATTCTTGACATCAAGCTTTATGTAATATACTAGAGGCCCGGTGAATGAAATTCATGCCCTGGGGGGTGGATCCCTCAACCCAGCCTGCACCCTCTCCAATCTGGGATCCCTCTCACAATCCGGGACTGCTGGCTCCTAACCGCTCGCCTGCCTGCCTGCCTGCCTGATTGCCCCTAACTGCTTCTGCTGCCAGCCTGATCACCCCCTAACCACTCCCCTGCCAGCCTGATAGACGCCTAACTGCTCCCCTGCTGGCCCAATCACCCCCAACTGCCCTCCCCTGCCAGCTTGGTCGCCCCCAACTGCCCTCCCCTGCAGGCCGGGTCCCCCCCAACTGTCCTCCCCTGCTGGCCTGGTCACCCCTAACTGCCCTCCCCTGCTGGCCTGATCTCCCACAACTGCCCTCCCCTGCCAGCCATCTTGCAGCTGTGGGTGCCGCCATCTTTGGGGGCGTGGCAGTCAAGTAGCATATTCCCTCCTTATTGGCTGTGGGTGCCATTTTGCCACAGTGTGAGAGCCAATTAGCATATTCCCTCTTTATTAGATAGGATTTCACTTTTTCACAAGAGAAAGGACTGTCCACAGAGCATTCAAATTTCTTTTACAGAATATGAATTATTGCCTGATTTCAATTTCTTTGAAAAAGTCCAAGGTTTGCCCAGTCTTGATTTCAGTCAGCCGGCAATGTTTTTAAGCTACATAATGGAAGTAGAGAAGAATCTATACACTCAGAGATGTGTCCTTTTTATTTTATGGAACCTTTTTAGGAGATTATTAGGGACTCTGCTTACTTGGTTGTCATTGTTCAAGCTTTAAGTGATCTAAAGTTAATTGTTTAGCTAACTAATATTTAATTCCCCTTTCCCCCTATAGCTTTCACAAAATTGATCACAGTAAATGGACAAGAATATCATCTTCAACTTGTAGACACTGCTGGGCAAGTAAGTATCTCTCGTCTCTTTCTCTCCTACGGCACTTGTGGCAGTCCTGGCCCAGGCACTGACTACACACAGCAGCAAGGCCAGGAAGACCCTGGGACTTCAGGCCATCTACTGTGTCTTTCTTAAGTCACTTGTGGCTGTTTTTCAAATAATTAACTTGGGTTTGTACTTTAGAATTGTCTTAAATATATTCATAACATTGTGAAGGTTAATGCTTACTACAGGAGAGGAGTTTTTTATTTTCTAAATTTTATGTCAGACTCACGTTAGTGCTTTTTCTCCCTTTGTGATGTGTGTTCCCCTACATTGAGAACAAAAGTAAGTCTTTTCCAGGGGAAAGGCATGAGAGGTAGGGCAAACCAGCTGGCTCATAGATTGATTATATGATTACTAGATTAAGGGGTGTTGGTTTGATTTGCTGGACAATAGGTAATTGCCAAAGGTTAAGTAACTTTAATAACACGATCTTTTCACAGGTTAATGTGGGGACTGGATCGCCAGGGGAACTGACTGGAAGCAAAGGGTGGAAGAAATTAAGAGAACTTGAAGGGAACAAAGAAGCCCCTTTTTGTCGGCTTCATTTCCCTATTGCCATGGCACCCAGTCCAGCTTGTATAGAACCCATTCTGTTAGGCTGGCTTTATTACAGTTCACTGGTGGGTGGGGAATGGGAGGAGCCGCGATGTTGGATTCTAACTCCTCACCTTGCATCTTACGAATGACGAAGGACTGCTGGCAGGAGGTGTGTGTGGTGCAATCTAGTACCGGCTGCGTTAGGTGGGGGAGTTGGGGTCGTCCTGTCTTGTTTGGAATAAACTGCCTCTGCTTTATACTTTGATGTGAACATAGATAGAAGGAAAGTGTAGCCCCGAGTGAGGCAAGAAAATGTCGTCAGACCTCGCGGTTTTCTTAGAGCAGAGCCATCCTTGGCTTATTGTACAGGGTCCCGTCCAGGGGCAGAATGGGGTCTGGGAGCTGCTGGAATGGGGAGCAAGAGAAGTCGCCAGAAGGGAATAATGGCACAGGGGACGCAGCCTGTCCTGTAAACTAGTATAGAGGAGACTCAGGTGGGACCTGCTTTGAGTTTCTAGGGTTTGTATCTCTTATAAAGTGACTATAATTTATTGCCTAAAATGAGACACTTTTAAGAGTGAAGGTTACAAGTGTAATTATGTTGGGACAGCAGGTATACCAGAGTTCTGGGCAAAGAAATAATAGCCGTGTTGTTTATAGTGGAGTGGACATTATCAGGATTTCAGTTTGCCTTTATACTTTTTTTTTTTTAATCCTGACCCAAGGATATGTTTTTGTTGATTTCTTTTTAGAGAGAGGGAAGAGGTGGGGGTGGGGGGGTAGAGATGTGAGAAAGAAACATCCACTGGTTGCCTCCTGTACCCACCCTGACCAGGGATCGAACCCTCAATCTTTCGTTGCAAAGGGCGACACTCTAACCCACTGAACCACCTGGCCAGGGCTGTCTTTATATCCCTGTTTTGGATTTTTACCTAAGCTCGTGGGAACTGGGGCTGAGGGTGTAAATTGATCAGTCACATCCCTGTAGCGTTACTGTGAAAATAGCCCTCGTGGTCGGCCAGGAGAACCAGCTCTTCATGGTTGTTTGGAGTGTGGGCTCTGCAGTCACAGTGCCTGGGTTCCAGTCCTCGCTGTTCTTACTAACCAGTGACCTTGAGAAAGTCAGTGAACTTTTCTGTGCCTCGGATTTTTCACCTGTGAGATGGCAGTAATTGTGGCGCATGCCTTCACAGCATCGTTGTAGGGTTGAAGAGGATTTGGTCCTTATTTGTGGATCTGTGATGCTTCTGAGGCTAGAGCAATGGCCTCACGTTGCAGCTCAATTGACATTTACAACTGGGGTAGAGAAACGCAGGTGTCTCCTACTTAGAGAAGAGCTGTCCTTGAAAACATTTGCCTGGAGAGATCATCCTCCTATCTAATAATAGAGAAACATGGTAATTAACCGTAACTTCGCTACCCTTCCCATTGGCTAATCAGCGAGATATGCAAATTAACTGCCAACCAAGATGGCAGCCGGCAGCCAGGCAGCTGAAGCGAACAGGAGGCTTGCTTGCTCCAGTGATGGAGAAAGCCAAG